TCTGCCTAGTATGGTACCCTTGTAATAATGTACTTACCTGATCCTGCAGAAAAAGGATTTCACCTGGGCATATTCATACAGAGAAGCTAATAAGAAGAACACATTGAAAGTATCAGTTGATATGCTCAAAAAGGTCACACCTATCAGAACTATTTTAAACTCTGCATTCTCCAGACTTTCTGAGCAAGACTGAAGTCTCACAACCTACTCTTCATTAGCTACTGAATTAGCTGTTCAACAGTCTGCTCCCACCTCAAATGTTACCTCTCTTCTCCAGCCCACTCACTCTTTGGGAAGTGGCTGACTTGGAACTAAATTCAGAGGAAATGTGTATGACCTGAAAAAAAAAAATCCTTTCTCCAGTGCACCACTATGAAAAGCAAAGTTGACATTTCCTGGCTTTATGAACCATGTAACAAAAACTATATACAGGCAAGAACAACTCCATTGGGGTGCCTCTGCTCTGCTGGGCAAGCACGTGACTGGCTGCCAAGTTGTGGAATCCCTGGCATGTTAGCATTTGCAACCTCCAGATGTCTCACCATCCTTTGACAGCAAGGACTTTGGACTTCTCAGATCTGATACCAGAACAGCCTCAGAACAACCCATGTCTAGGTGGGCAAAAGACACACCCGTGGAATGCCAGCTACGTTTAAATTGCTCACAAATAACACAGGACTCAAAAGTCACAGTTTAGACACATCCAGCACTAAACAGCAAGTCAGCTTAAAACTTGGTTTTGGTGAGTTATATTCACAACAGGAAGCAAGTGGACCATAAAGACAAAGCACCTAAGCAACTATAAGGTATAGATTAAACAACTTCAAATTCACAATTAGACCTCTAGTTTCTTTTCAAAAAGCAGCAGTATTTGGAATGAGTAAGATGGTACATGAAACAACGAAGTATCTGTCTTTTACTTACCCCAAGTAAGAGTCAAGCCTCTAGGAGACTAGCAAGAACTAATCCCACAGCCACTGCAGTTTTCAAAGTGGAAGGGAAACAAGTGTTGCTGATGTATACTGCTAGCATAAGCATTTAAAATGAACTACTATTCTACCCTCATTCTGTAAAGACAGAAAGACACATAGAACATTTAAAAGCATTGCCAAGTCCCACCTGTTTCACTTTCCATGCTCCAAAGTGGCAGGTGAGAGTGATCGGTGTGTGTGTAGAACACACTCACATCCTGAGGGACAAGCAACTCTACAAACCGGGAAGAGTCCAACACTTTCTTCTTATAGTTTAGGATAGATGCTGCCTGCTCAGAAATATGTACTATGCGTCCAGAAAGCAAAGAAAATACAGCCACAAATGTGTCCTGGAAAACAAATGTTAAAGGCAATCGTCCCCCCAAACATGGCAGTGATATTGTAAAGATAAAAAGCAAAACAACCCCAAAACAAACAAATCAACCCCAAACCACCACATACCACAATCTCAGGATGAAGTTCAAAAATGTGTTAATTTAGCATCCAATTAAAGTAGTGTGTAAACTACTACACTCTCCAATGCCATAACAGCATACTCAAGATTTATAAATGCTAGTAAAACTGCAGTATCAAAACTGAAACCAATCAGAGTGATGCTTGTCTTTGTCCAGAAGGACTGGTTATCACTCCACACACTTCTCCCCAAATTTCAGAGGGTTCACTACAATTCCACATACAAAACCACTCATGAGCTTTTCAAATAGCAAGCATTTGCAATACTTCTGATACAGCATCTAACAGTACTGAATTTCAAAAAACACTCTTTTCTTTAAAGCAGAGCCAGAAAGCATGACAGATATTGCAAAACAAGAAAAAAAAATTAAATTCAGAGTACGAACAGAAAAAAAAAGCCCCTCAAAACTCTAAGCTTGATTGGTTTTGAAAACTTTTTGCTGTTTCAAGAGATTACTACACTGTAAATGAATTCTCAAAGAGCTATCTGTTGCTTGGAAAAAAAAAAGAAGAAAAATTAGTATTTCTTCTACTCATTATCATTGGGTACCCTGAGACAGCACAGATAAGTAGTAGTCTTGATCTAACTTTAAGGCCTCTCTGGCTAAAAATTAAAGGCCTTTCAATTTTACACATTCTATTTCCACAGAATGATGTAAGGAGACTAAATAGAGTGAGTGGCAAGTGATGAACTCCTCGAGTGTGCCTGAATTCTTACAGTGTTTTTTGGAGTGTGTTCAGATGCAACTGCCACCAACTCTTCTATGCTGTATGTCACCACATCAGTCTGAAACACTCTTCGGTCATTCAGAGCCTGGAAAAAGTCATTGTTTGCTAATTGAAAAAAAAACAAACAGAAAAGCAAAACAAACACAAGTAAGTCAGTAAGGAGACTACTTTGAAAGTATTTCTTACAGCCCTTGTACTTTTGTCATCTTTTTGGTGAAGTCCAAGGTGAGATGAAGAAGGTCTGTGTAGTGACAAAGGGAAAAGGAATACTGATTATACTACTGGAGCGACCTAGTTATGTTACAGAAAACAAGCATGAAGAAGTAGAAAGGACAGAATGTGATGGCAAAAGAACAATTTTACTACCTAGTTCTGTTGAAAAAGACAAACTATCCAATAATTTTTCAAAGTGGGATGGGAATGATGTTTTTTCAATATATACAGAAAGGTACTAGTAGGCACCTTAATTAGCTATGGGACTCTGAAGAAAAGAGAAGCAGTGGGTGGGTATTTCAACAGAAAAGATAACATGATTGTTTAACAAAAAAAACCAACGAAAAACCCACAGTGCTTCAGAAAGTCAACTGTTAGCAGGATACTAGAATGCATTCTTTTGTTTTAATGCTATCTGTTGTCAGACACATCTATTCATACCATGCTGCTGTTCTTACAGATTTTCTCCACACATACCTCGGACCTGCTGGACACACTGCAAGGCGTAGTTGAGAGCACTGATGGTGCTGGACTTGCTGGAATTCCTTTTCTCTTCAGGCAAACACCTTTTCATTTCTTGGATCATCATCAGCAGATCTCTGTGAGACTGGCTCCAATTCAGCTGCTCACTGTAAAACAGAGGTTAAACTTTACCAGAGAATTCTGGTATAGAAGCTTTCTTTTCTATCACTGAATTAAAATTATTCACTAAACCAACATTTTATGGGATTGGCCGCAGTATCACACAATATCCAGAAACGTCCTAATTCTCCTTCACTAAATTTCCTGTTGTATTTTTCTCGCTTCTTTGCTACTTGAAGTGTTCTCTACCTTCCTTGTTTCCAACTTGAATATGTCATGGATGGCAAAGTCCCATCAAAACCACTCTGCTTCTCAAGATGCTTAGCAACTAAAAATAAGCTGATGTTTACTCTAGATTTTGTAAATCTCACTAATATTAAAATCATTAATAGGTGCTGATTCTTGATCTCTCTAAGTTTTTACAGCCTTCAAGTCTGCATCTCGTTATAAGCACCATGAGGTTCTCAAAATACACCTGATGCAAAGATTTCATTCCTCACATGACTTCAGTCTTCATTATACTTTTGAGTTGTTAGCTTCAACAGCCGCAGAATTGTTAAAAGGCAAAATCTCCCTCTTCTTACATTTATTTCAGTGACTAAAAAATAAGCAGTCAGTATTCTCAAATGAGATTCTAATCCTACAGATGGGATATGAACACGATTGTTTTTAATAACTTTTGTCCATTTGGCATTTTTATTAGTATCATACTCTTATTATATAAACCATTACATAGGTTCAAGTATGGCATGTTAACAAGCCAGTTCAACATTTCATGAATTACAGATCTTGAACTATTTTATGAATTAAAAAATAAAAGAAGTTACCATCTCACTGATTTTCTGAACGTCCAGGAAAAACATTATTTCAGTAATTTCTGCTTTGGTACCGCCAAATTAGGCCTTAAGATGAAGTACACACAGAGGCTAGCACAGGGTCACTGCCGTACATGGCTCAGGCGATCTCAGACTCAGGCACATCTCAAGGAGCCGCGCAGCAGCAGCGGGCTCACCCCCCTGCACACGCCGCGGCCCGTGTCCCCCGCAGTCCCCCGAGCAGCCCCACGGGTCACGGCCGCGACGGGTCCCCGGCTCCGCCCGCCCGGTTACCTGTTGGCTTTGCCGGCGGCCGAGCCGCCGCTGGACTCGGGGCTGTGGAGCTCCGTCCCGCCGCAGTCGGTTCCCGCACATGCCGTGCACCGAGCGCCCGCAGCGCCCCGCGGCGTCGCCGCTGGCTCCCGCCCGGCCCCCGGGCACTGACCCGCGCCGTGCTCCGCGCTGCCCCCTCGGCCTTCGCCCGCGTCCATCTCGGCTCCGCTGAGCGACACAGCGCGGGGGCATCGGCCGCCACGGCCCCTCAGCACAGCCAGACCCTTGGCCCGCGGTCCTGGCGCCGGTGCTGCAGGGAGAACACGCGCCGCCCCAGGAGACAGCGGGAGGAGCGGTGTCCCCTCTGCTCCTCCCGCCGAGCGGAGCGGGCACCGGGGCCGGTTCTGCGCTCCCGCTCTGCTCTCCGGCGCGCACTCCCTCAGCTCACCGCTCGGGCGGATTCCTCGCAAAAGACCCCGGCTGATCCCGAGCGGCTTCCGCTTCGTCTTCCCGCCCCTCCGAGCCCCCCCGACGCCGCGCCCGTCCCGCCGACCCCAGGCTGCTCCCGCTCCGGGCCGGGAGCGCCCTCAGGGGCCGCGCCCCCGTCCCGCGCGGTTACGTAACGCGGCGCACGCGGCGGCCCCTCTCCCACACACCCCCGCCACGTGCGAACAGAGGAGGAGGCGGAGGCGGGGTCAGAGCCGTTTATTGGAGGACACCGCGCTCAGCGGGGCGGGGCCGCGGCCCCGCGTGCGCTGGCCCCGCCTCTCACGCGGCACCGCACGCGGCCCCCGTGCGCGCGCCTGCCCCACCGCCACGTGCGGGGCCGGGGCCGCCCCTGGGCGGGGCCGGGACAGGGGCGGGGCCCGCGCGCGCGCAGAACCGCGGGGCGAGAACAGCGGCGGTCGCGCAGCTCCAGAGCCGGGTCCGCCTCACAAGCTCCGCACCCCACTTTATTAAGGCACTGTGCAAGTGGTGAGCTGTGCTTGTTAGTAATTAATGGCAGGAGTGTCTTAAGGCAACCAGTAAAGTTAGTTAACATTTCAGTAATGAAAATAGTTTTGCTTTAAACAGCAGTAAATGGACTGAAAATGCAGCAGGTTTGAAGTGGAGAGGCTGAAGATTCAGAGGCACCTTCAGTTGATCTGAGTTTCTTCCTGTAACTCATGAACTAGTCGAGACTACAAAAAAAAGAAAGAAGTGGGGCAGTGTCCTTCAGCTCCTCACCATAACAGTCCTGTGTTTTAAGAATTTAAGATAATAAAGATAAATCCCTCTTAAATCCTCTAAATCTAAGAATTTGCCCATGTTGGTTTTCTTAGCTGCATTCTTCCTTTGTTCTTGCCTTCCAGTACTTCTCACCCAGGATGACATCTCTGATGTCAGCAGTTACTGCAGTGTTTGTTACTGTTCACGGCACAAACTTAAAACCTTTGTCTTCCCATTAAATATCTGGTGATTACATGGGGACTCAAAGACTGAACTATGCATTCCCTGGCTCTCCATCCTAACCCAACGTTATACTCATTTCATCTGGCAGCAAAACCTCTACTCAAAGAAAACCTCCCTGCTATGGCAGTGCACTTGGAACTCCCAAACCAAAAGAGGTTTATCTAGCAGGAAGCTACGGCAAATGATGAATAGTTCTCAGACAAGGGAGGTGTGTGAAATTTCATCTTATACTTCTGCAACATGCCGCTAAAAAAAAAAAAAAAAGAAGCACGTCTGTTCCTGGTTTCTAAGTTCTTGCTATTTTCATAGCAAGGTGGTTGAGATTCAGGTCCCGGAGCTCCCACAGTAGTCCCAGTTTACCATTCACTGCAAACAATGCTTGTTAAAGCTGTCACTACTACTTCAAATTAATGTTGAAGTAGTACTTCTATTTGAGCATCCTGGCTTTATTTAAACTGTACCAGTCAGTGAATTAGCACCATTAATTCCAAGCCTATGAGGAATCCCCACTTTGGTGAAACTTACCGATGATGATGATGATGATGATAATGACAACAACAGCTATCAATATTGCCCACATCTGTGAAAAGAAGCCACACAATGCTTACTACAAACCATGCAACAGCACTAACTGCCCCTCAGGATACAGGAAAACAGCCCATTCAAGGGAATTTAGCACCATGTGTCAGGTCTAACATGGCAAGCAAAGCTTCTTGGGTAAGCAAGCTTGATCCACACTTAGAGATGGCAGGTCATGCACACAGACAAAACACAGCAGTACAGTCTCCTTCACACAGAGGTTGTCTCAAGTGAATACACAAGTCTTTGTTACTCACCAAAGATGATTCCAACCTTTGCCAACAGCTACAAGTACAGGAGTCTGAGTGAGCTTCTTCCACTTTCTAATACTTCCTGTACTTTAACTCAAGCTATGCATTTTTACGCTTTTCTTCCTGTTCCTCAACACCTCAGATTACTGACGTGTTTCCCCACTGGCCATTACCATGTTACACAAGATCTTGCATAGGGCAGCATGGCCTCTAGTCCAGCTTTTCATTCCTTCACCCAGCCACTATGTCAAGCTTTAAAAAGCTAGATGCTGTAAGTTAAACAACATTGGCTAAAGTAATCTCTTCTTCTACCTTTTGGGATGCCAATTGTAATAGTGTTACCTGTAATACTGCACAACATAAGTACACAAGGGAAGGTTACCTTACAGTTCTTCCACCAATACTTCCTTTTCAGCTTGGCTGCACTGGTCTCAAATTGGGAAGCTCCTGCTTGCAGTGCATCAGCACGGTCATCCAGCTCTGACAGCTTCTGATCTCGCTCCAATACCTTGTCCACATTCACTCTCATGATGTCAACAACCTACACCAGTTTAATGCTTACAGTAAGTTACCAGTTGTATAACCCATGGTAGAACACAATCACAGGCAACAGACAGCAACACCAGTGTTCTCTTTTCAGAAGCAGGAGCTATTGCCTTTTAATATATGCAGTCATAAGCTTAAACAAAACCCTGGAATTCACAGTTGGGCTGGAAGCCCCTAATACCTACTTTAAAAAGTCAGTAGTGCCAGTAGTGCTGGCATTCCTTCAAACCTGGGAAATAATTCCTGAGCCGCTTCAGAAGGAGTTGAGGCATATAAACATGATAGTAAACCATATGTCAAAAAATACTCTTGCTAGCCAGCCTGGCTTTTGGACTCCACAAAAATCTAGACACATCATATTTGGCAGTCAGCCTTCATGGCTACTGATGAGAAAAAAGCTTTTTCTCTGTAAGAACAAAGGTTTTTATCTTTAATTTTGCCAAATCCTCAAGCAGCAAGATTGCAGCTAATATTTGGACACTGGTAACCTCTCTCTACTTCCCCTTCATATAATGAAGGGAAAACTGCTTTGGTAAAAAATCTCTTCTAGTTTTACAGGTTTCCTGAAGGAAAACAATGACACTGCTATTGGACTAGACTTTTACCTCATCTACTTGGTGTTGAGTTTGCTGAAGCCGACGATTACTGCCAGCAGCCACATTTGAGCTTCCAGGGATACTGGCTGACCTGCAGTATAGAAAGTCATCATTATTCATCTGACATTCCTGAGATGTATCCTTTGAGTAAATGTCGGGTAGTTTCCTACTGAAGAAATGGTGTTTTAACAGCTGACATTAGGTGCAAGTCACACTGTGTTCCAAACATCTTGTCAACAAACTGCCTGCCATTCTAAGAGACAGCAATGGCTTGCTAATACCACATTTTGCAATAAGGTACAGGACAGCTCCAACCATGGTTCAGGGCTCAAGGAGTCAAGAGTTTAGGCTCAGGGGTGTTCTTGCTTTCCACTATGAACACAAATACTAAGTTTCAAGCTACAGTATTTACAAAAAAATTAAATATAAAAACTTAATGGTTATTCTGACTACGTGCTTCTCTGTTGTTGGCTGTCTCTACTATTTTGAAACAGTTGATATGGAGCAAGTGAAAGCACCAGAAGGAAAAAGAATCTGGCATATACAAGAATTTACTTCTGGTCAGCTTTGATTTCATAACAGAGGGGGGGTTTTTACCAGCTTCAACGCTCTGCATCTTTGTAATGGACGCAAGAGTTCCTGTACATACTCCTCATACCCTTTTCACTGCTTTGCCAGGTTTTTTGCAGACCTCTAGAACTACAGACTGTCGTCAATTTCCTTTTCTATGTTATTATTTCTTCCACATCAGACCCTTGTTTAGCGCATCCTGACACTCCAAACAGCCAAGTCTGACTATTTCCTGTATTTACACATTTATACATTCACTTTAAGTTCCACGGAGAGAGAGCAAACGTGTACACGCAAAAGGCGTGAGCCGGGAAGCCCGGGGCGAGGCTGGGAGCAGGCCCCGTACAGGCCAGCATCACCACTCGACTGTTTTGGCACTTCCGCCAACCTTTGGTTCTATTTCACTGCTAGTTACAGGGGAAGAGTCTCGGACATGACACCTCCAAACACAATAACGCCCCCGTGCCCAGCAGGCGCTGCCCCGGCGGGGCGGCCCCGCTCTAACAGGCGCCCGGGGACGGGCGGAACAGCCCGGCCCGGCCAGCCCAGCGCCCCGGTACCGGCCCGAGCGGGGGCCGGGCGGGGCCTCTGCGCAGCCGCTCTGGGAACCCCCGCCCGCCTGGGCGCGGCCGGGCCCGGCGCCGCTGCCCGGCGCCCCTGCCCGTCCTCCCGCGCGTCCTCCCGCGCGTCCCCCGCACGGCCCCGCACGGCCCCGCACTCACATCGTGCCGGCGGGAAGGGCCGCGGCCGCAGCGCCCGGGCGGGTCCAGCGGGAACTGTGCTCGGCGCCGACGGCGCCCCGGGGTGACGTCAGAGGGGCGGGGCCTGCGGGCGGGACCCGGGGCAGGGGTGGGGCCCGGCCGGGGCCACGCCCCCAGGCAGCCGTCGGGCGCGCGGCCGCAGGGGGGCGCCCTCCCGCCGCGCCGGGCCCGCTGTGTGGCCACAGCCCCGCGGCGGGAGGCGGGGCCTGATCCGCCCTCGGGCTCGGTTCCGCCCTCGGGCTCGGTTCCCCTTTCCCCCTTCACTTATTAAACCGGCTGTTTCTCACTCCAGACATTTTTTCCCCTCATATTTGGTCTTCCAGTTCTCTTCCACCATTCCACTGGTGGAAGGGGGAAGGTGGGGCAGTGAGCAGACAGCAGTGTCTACTTTCAGTACAGGGTCAACCCACTACAATACTAAAGAACTCGGCAATTAACAGGTATGTAAATAGGAAAAATGGGGAAGTAGCTGAGATCAATTTGGGGAGTTAAATGCTGATTTATTCTTCAAGAGAACATAATTAAACTTTGTCTGTCTGTAGTCAAAAATAAACTCTCTAAATGAAATCTCGTCTTCTGTTGTGGTTCTGGGTTTTGGAAGAACTTACAGCACTACTAACAGAGTCTTTCGCATACCAGATGACTATTAAACTTGGTTTTCCCTGCTAGGCTGGCCTTGTAGTAGTTTGATACAAAAGTTTCATTACGGAGGGCCGATTTGTGTAACTTCTGTATCTGATCAGTGCAAAGTTACTGTGTCTCAGTTATCTGTATTATTATGACCTCTTACATATCTGCATCAGCAACCCTCTTGAATTCTCCTAGGATTTGACTCTGCTTTGTGCACACTGTAGGATTTAGCATTTTGCTACCAGGTACATATGGTTTCTTATGAAAAGCCCTGGAAGTGATTGTCCACTGACAGGAACTGAAAACAATCTGATCTCAGAAAAGCTCTGGGGGTTGCACCTGCTCATGGGCAGGCTGTTACATTATAACCTGTGAGAAATCAGATGCAGTATACTTAACAAGCAGATCATGTAGAGAAGAAATGCATTTTTTTCATGGTTCCTTACAGTGACTAAAGGGCTACATCACTCTCAAACTAGGATGGAGGAGATGTGTTTAAAAGAAGGCACACACTTTGTATGGGGAAATTTTCTTTGTTTTTAATTTACAGCAGAAAGAATATAAAGCATTCAGAAAACATTTTCCATATTTTAAGGGCAATTCAAAACATTTTGCATGGTTCCAGCAGCTGAGTTCTTCAACAGATCCATTGATTCAGTGATGCTTTACATGCACGGTTACAAAAATAAAACTTACAAAAGAGAAGACATCTATACTAGTTTTACATGCAAGTCTTGGGGACCCCCCATTGGGCACCAGCTATTGTGTGGAACTGCCATAAGCGTGCAACCAGAGAGGGGGTTCATGTTATATTCTGTATTTCTTTCACACAGTATTACTGCTGTCGAATGTGTTTCACAAAGGAGCGGTTCCATTATCAGAAGACAGAAGATCTGGCTCCTGGCACTTGGGAGTTTGAATTTTCCTAGAAAGCTGCACTTACTTATCTTCGGTGAAAATATAAGTTCCACAACCAAGAAGAGGGTTCGCAGAATCACTTCACTGCAGGGGAGTCCTTCTCCCTCCCCAGTGACACACTGAAGGGTTACGGCCCGACACAACAAAGCACTTGGGAGCTGTACCTGGCTTCAAGCATGCGGGGAGTTCTGCTGCGCCCGCGGAACTGCCGGCATGGTTAACACCAGTACAGGCTTAAACGTTTGGCTGAAGCAGGATCTAGATTAGTAGATACACCACCAGGCCCATGGATCTGGAAGAGTAATTTGAAATAGCTCTGTATATTACTGAATCATTTTCTGTAAAGACAAGGAGTTAAAACATTTCCACTGAGGTCACTACTCTTGTTAAGAACAGATCAATTCTATATTGTCACGTATTGGTTAATGGATACAATATTTCACTTTCAAAATGTCAGAGTTCTTCCAGTACTAATACAGAGCATTTCCAATTCATTCCAAAGGAGATTCTTCAGTGTCTCCTGTTCTATTTTGGCGTGAGAGGAAAATTTAATGGTTAAGGTTCCAATTGCAGACAGTAAATGGAGGCTACAAGGCTGCCCACAGGCACAGCGTGAGTGCCAGGCCATTCATTTTGCCTTTTTCCCTTTTTTAGAATTGAATCAGGTCATAAAGCAGCAGTTCAGAAATGTACAAGAGAATTCTGATAATGAGCTATAGCACATCTACTATAATTCAATGCTGGCAGTGAAAGGAAGTAATTAAAAACAGGTACAATTATAGAAAAGGCACCAAGAGCACTGACCCCAGTTTTTTTGCCACAATCTTTGTTTTTACTCTTCTTGTAAAGACACCAGTTTCAAAGCTTCTTATATGTGAATATTTTTTGGCTTCACAACAAGCCCTGCGTTTAAACATTGCAGTTGGTGGCCGGGATCAAGCAAGAACAACTATTCCGAAACTAACAATCTCAGATTTACACGAGTCCATTCAGAAATTTTAAACTGCCACAAGTGAGACAAACAGACAGGAGCAGTTTCTGATCTCAGATACATGTACGTGACCCACAGTAACGACATGGACTTCAGGAGTTTCTTCCCTTACATTCCTATGTAATGAAGATCAGAACCTGGTTCCCATTGTTCAGAATCTGTGACAATTTTAAATTAGTAGTTCAATTTTAAAAAAATCTAATTTCTTTGGCTCCTCACTATGTGGAAATAGCAATATACCATGACACCCCTACAAGATCAGTTTGCATCTTTTTTTTAAGTTTTACTTAATTTTTTTAAATTTTTTGTGCAATTTTTATTACATTTTCTGACTTCCAGCAGGAGATATGAAAATGTGAAACATATTTTCTACTTTTGTACTATTTATTTATTTTTTTCATTTTATGTTCATTCTAAGTGTTCTTTATTGGAGTGAGTGTATGGTGTTAAGCTAGATACGGTTTCTGTACTCTTATGATTATCTGCTTTGCAAAAGTAACTTAATTTTCTTAAGCAATATTAGCATTCACATTACTTGGCACCATTGGCAAAAAAAAAAAAAAAAAAAGAAAGAAAGGAAAAAAAAAAGACGGGGGGGAAAAAAAAAAGCAAGGAATATATAAATTAAACCGAACTGAACCAAACTCCTGGTAGCCAAAATCAAATGTAAACATATCCTTTTTTTCTTTTTTTTTTTTTTTTAAAGTAATGTTGCTCTGCCTTTTTTTCCTAAGTCTAAATACAGTAGCTCTTTTTTGCCATTTAGTCATGCTTTAGCAAAAATGTTCTTCTAAAGAACATTTAAAATAAAGTTTCTTATAGTGAAATAAAGTTTTTGTTTCATTTTACAGACCATAGCCACTAATGCTTTGCTTTGTTCATTTCTTTTTCTTGAGTTCATGCACATATCTCTTTGTTTTAATATATACAATATATACAAACAATACATCCACACTCTTCTGGTTCATTCAGACAAAACTATACAAATAATAATTTTATCTTGCCAAGTTATTGACCCTTTGTGAATAAAATATTTAGTAATTAATCAATATATTCCCTTTCAAATATTTTTTTCTCATTTTCCATTTCTACCTTCTATATATACAGAAAACTGCCCAGATTTCGATGAAGTAGCCAAAATAAGAAATTTACTGGCCAGAATGCAGCACCACTGATCTTTAGGTGGCTTAAAATGTCCAGGCAACATATGTACGTGACTCTGCAAAATGACAAGAGGTTTGACATAAGAGAAAAAGCTACATGTTTTACAAATTATTTAAGAACTTAATTAAAACAATAGTACATGAAGGTAAGGCTAGAAAATAAAGTGCTGAATATGAGAGAAAGTACATGACAGTTGATATGTTTGCAGGTTCTAGTAAAAATACCAAAAAAAGTGTTTAAAACTTGCTTAAGCTGCTCTCTCCATTCTCATGCATTACCCGTGTCTCTCACACACCAACCCCTTCTGTAAGTTCCCACAGGATGTATTAAAAACCTGCAGATTTAAAAAGTTGCATTAAGTGTGCTGTAGAGGTTTAAATAAAACACAAAAGACAGGAGTGCGAAGGAAATGAGGATGCATGGACCCAATAAAGATGTACTGATCTAAGCCCCTCCACTGAGACTCTCAAAGCTTCAGTTTCTTGGAGATGACTGACAGGTGCAGGAACAGCATTCTTGTGTTGCTTGTGCATTCCCACCTTTTCTGAACAATATTTTTGGTATAATATTTGTACAGTTCCACATGTTGTTTAATACAGCCCTATATGAAAAGGATAATTAATCGCTTCTTCGTTCCTTCTCGGAGAATGAAGCAACTCACAATTTCTTCCTGGTGTCTTTTGTTTTCCCAACGATCCAACAGAAGATTGAGTTCCAAGATGTCTTGCTGAACAAATTAAAAGTTGTCCATGAAAGTGCAAATGCAATGACCAAAACATTACTGTTAAAATCCTGCAGCTGGTATTTCCAGAACTGCAGTGGGTATTTTTGTTGTTGTTGCATGTCTCTGCTAAAAACAGAAAATGAAAACAGTCTGAAAAGCAATGTCACATTGCTACGGGATGCTGCTGCGTATCTTCAAGTTCCTTGGCCTTTTTCAATTCTTTCACTCTGAAAAAACAAAGAGGAGCTATGTAATACTTCTATTGCAAATCTCTTGAAGACACAGAACAATCAAAAGGACTCCTCAGTCCAGCTTCCCGTGCAGAAGAGCCAGCTCTCAGAGAAATGACAGGAGGGTAACACCTTCCTGACACCGTAACAGTTGGAAGTGCAAGAATGGGCCAGGAGAGATCTGAGACAAACACATCTGGAGACATATCCCTAGTTCCAGCTACTGTTTTTCCCCAGTATTTGCAACTACAGCTGGGCTTTGTTCTGGTGTTAGCCTATCTAATTGCTTGGGGTTTTCCGGACTGCTGTTCTCTAACTGACCCTGCAGCTGCTCTTATTTGTCATGGCAAAGGGGTTGTTCAGCGCTGACCTCTTTTCTCCACACAGTGTTGAGGCAGTGACAGCCTGATGTCGTGGCCAGTACAGAGGGGAAAAATCAGTCCATCCTACTAGGAAAGGAAGCTTGATGTTGATACAGAATTTCACATAAGAAAGTGTTTATATGCAAGCAGAAGAATTGGTATGGGTGTGAGAAAAGGTGTTTCACACGTATTCCAACTGCTGGGGGCTGTATTTTCTAGCATGTTGTTGGGAATAGATTTGTGTGTTTTCCCAGCCAGCAGTGGAGGATGCTGGATGCTGTGTGCTGAGTGTGATGAACCTATAGCATGGAAGAGTCACCCTCCCTAGATGAGGCCTGGTGCCCCCATTCAGAACTCTCTAAAATGCATGCAATACATTACTTCCTCTAACACTTGTCAGCATAAGAACTAAGCGCCATCGCTGAAAGATGGAAGAGTTAAAAGTTAAATTAAAAGAATGAAGAGGAGGGAATCCTTTTAACCCCGTTACGTGAAACAGAACTCTGTATTGGTGCTGGGGCAGCAGCAATCCTCTCCTCAGACTTAACCTGGCTGTGTGTCAGTGCAGGCTCCCTGCAAAGGAGCCAGACCAAATCCAGGGGGACTCCCCATGCTGTCCCTAAACCACAAGGCAGCTGGCTGTGCTTGGGGCTGGCTCTGCCTCTGCTTGCAGGGAGCTCCTCTGCAGTAAGATCCCTTTGCCACTTGCCTCCACCTGTCTTCCCTCTGCTCCTGCAAGGGGAGGACCCCTGCAACAGGAGCAGAACACAGCACAAAAGAAAGGTGATTTAGCTAAGCATGTACATGCTCAAGTGCTCAAGTGCTGTTGCAAAATCTTGAAAGGATAAATAGCAAAGGTATGGTACAAAAAATTGTGTCAGAGATGCAAGTCTGTGTAACAGAAACCAGCTACAAGTGAGTGAATTTAACAATAAATAAATGCACATTGGGAGAGCTAATCAGCAGCAGTGAGAGTTTGGAGCTACTGTATGTAGACTTATACCCACACATCCACTTTTGGCTCGCACCAGCTTGCTAATACAAGGATACAATGAAGGCTATAAATTGATCTTTATAAATACACCTCCATTTCACCACTTTATTTATTCATTTTTCTGCATGTACTATTACTCAGAACCACAGTCAAAAGGGAGCTGGCTACTTTTACCTCTGTTTTAGCTGACTCAAAGCTCTAGCACTCAAAGGCATTCTCAGTATTCGTTGAAAGCGGCCAACAGAGGTCAAACCACACTAACCCATATGCAGGTAAGACCTTCACTAAATACCTCAATTCCAGTGGCCTGTTGGAGAATATAATGCATGGAAAGACAGAGGCTGTGCTAGTCCAAATGCACACACTGTTTTGAGAGTCTGAAGGCCACTGCTGAAGGGGCCCCAGCACTCCTGAAATCTGAGCCTCCGTACTGCTCCCCCAGGTGCCAAGCAGTGCTCTCATCCCCAAGCTGAGGAAGGGGCAAGGCAGCCACCAGCATCGGGGGTTCTCAATTCCTACTTGGACACTGCTATGCTGAGCCCAAATGCCTACTACAACTTCACAGAGATATCTTCTACAAGAAGATTTTGGGTCTACACAAACTGGTGTCTAAAAGACCCTGTTGATATCAAGGGAGTGGAGGCTTCAGCACTGCACAGAAGGCAGCAGCAAGCCTCTACTCAGGCTGACAACCTGACTTCTACCTGAGTTCACTGGGGTTCACCTGCTGTGTATGGCCAGATCACCTTTTCAGGAAACAGAGGAGGGCCGGTACAATGAACTGAAAATACTCACAAATTACAAACTACCCATCTTCAGTATATTTGGGTTTCTTTTCTTACAGCAGAAAAGCAGTCTCTCCCTTGAATTTATTGCTAATACTTCTATTGCTCTGCTGCTTAGCAGCAGGAGGCGTGCCAAGATCTGTGGTACTATGCTAGAAAACATGGTGTACCTCTTTGCACTGGACAATTTTTAAGGCTTAGATTAACTATGTTCAAGATATCATCAATTAATGCACGATTTGCAGTGCAACTTCCAAGTGTTTTCTGTTGCACTTCAGTACTGTAATGTAAAATTAACCTGTTATTATAAATCTCTCACTGAGAACATGCACATTAAATAAGCTGGTGGCTCTTTCACTGAGACATGCTATTCCTTACTTTGGCACTTCACATGCAAAGGCTACACTAACAAAGCACTTTTGCTGGAAGAATGCATGACATGCTTTGCTGCAAACTTCAACCTACAGCATGCAGTATCTGTACTGGTGCAGACCTATTGCATCTGTTTGCCTGGAACATACATGCCAACAGAAGGTAATTACTGCAGCAGTCAGCCTTAGCACAGGACCTTAAAGATCATCTAGTCCAAACCCCCCTGCCATGGGCAGGCACACCTTCCACTAGACCAGGTTGTTCAAGGCCTTATCCAACCTGACCTTGAACACTTCCAGGGATGGGTGTACACCTTGCACTTTGCTTTGTTGAACGTCATGAGGTTTTCATAGGCCCACCTCTCAAGCCTGTCAAGGTGCCTCTGGATGGCCCACCCCTTCCTTCCAGCCTGTGACTGCAGCACACACACAGCTCGGTGTTGTCAGTGAACTTGCTGAGGATGCCCTCAATCCCACTGTCAATGTCGCTGACAAAGCTGTTGAACAGGATCAGCCCCAGCACTGATCCCTGAGGGACCCCACTGTCTCCACATGGACAATGAGCCATTGACCACAACTCTGAGTGCAGCCACCCAGCCAGTTCTTTATTCACCAAGTGGTCCATTCATCAAATCCATGTCTCTTCAATTGAGAGACAAGGCTGTCACACATGACAATGTCCAATGCTTTGCATTTGTAACACTTTCCTTGGTCAAGTGTAATTTACATGGTTGCAGGTACAATGATAATTACTGCTTAAAAACACAAGCACATACTAGTACCAAATTTCCCTACAGTAATGGTTCAGACTCTCATATTTGCCATGGGTACATTACTGAAAGATGCTCTTTAGTATGCAGTGGTTTAAAACAAACCCTGCATTCCACAGCATTTATACACTTAAGCTTCAAGATGATGACCATCCCAAGATAGCACTTTTTTATTAACTAATCTCTGTGTTCTGTATATGTAATGGTGCATGTGTCACACTGCACATGGGAGTGCAGGTAGGTACTGTGAGTCCTCTACCGATTACGACACTGCCCAGTAGGTACAAAGACCTGCACTCTGCAGCTGCCAGTCTCTACTCCTCACTCCAGAGCTGGCACTGGGAGGCTAGGGAAGTTCTCCCTTCTCCTGACAGCTGGCACAGGGCAGCCCTGCTCACTGCAGACTCTGCAGCAGGCACAGCCAGAGGGAACTGAAGTACCTCCAAATGCTACCAAAAATGGAGCCAATCTATGGCCGGAGTGACACTGGAGAAGCACTGAGGTGCTGTTGTGAACACCTTGCTGCTTCCTCAAACCAGGCTAAACAGGAGGTGTCAGAACCACGCATCAAGGACCAAGATAATCCATTCACTTCCTCTGAAAGGCTTTGTCAAGAGAACCTAAAACTAATTGTCTTCAACCAATTAATTTTTTCTTGGATAGTCTGTACTGCAGCCTTTCCTGTGTCTTAGAAGTCCTTTCAGTCCTCACTGAACTCTTCTTCTCTGAGTTCCTTACTCATTGATACTTTGATTTGGTTACAACAATATAAAGTGTCAGTAGGGGGGCTGGTATTTCTTCTTCACTAAGGCTCAGTGTAATAAATTCTCTAAATTTTCAACTGCAGTTAAAAAATACAGCTTGACCAGGGAAGAATTTTGGACAAATAGAACCCTTGAGATTAGAAACCCTCTGAGTAAGTGCTGCCAGGAGAGATTTTATGTGAACAACATAGCATTGCTTTCAAGCTAGAAGGCAATCTTCTTTGGTTCATATTTTTCCACTCTTAAATTGAGGCAGAGGAAGAGGACTAAAGTGTAGCATTTGCAGTTACAAGCAATAATAAACTGCTCTAAGAAACAGAATACTACTGGGATTTACAGAATGGAACAGCAGAATGGATGTTCTTAGACAAGATGTTTCAATCCAGTTTGGCAGACTTGCAGTGAGACTTTTTTTTTTTTAAACAATAAAGAAAATGAGAGCACCGAGAGAAAGTGATAGCAGCAGGTCGGGTGCTGTCAGATGGTGTGCAAACCTCTCCAGGAGTCTACAAGCACCAGCACGCTAGCTCGGATCACTTCTGGGAGTGCCTCAAGCTGTCTGGGACTGGAGGTGAGGGCAGCTCAAGTGAGGCACAGCTGCAAGCAGAGTACCCCAGAATGGGAAACAGGCTCTAGCTGCTGCAGGTCTCCAAATAAGAAGCACCATCCTACACCAGCAGCTCTGAAACGATGCACAAAACTGCAAGGACCATAACTTTGGTTTTGCACTGATCAAGCCTTGAACACAAAACTCCTCAAAAATAACATTTTCTCTAGACCGTAAGTGCCTCTAAGGTACAAAGTCATTCCCTCAGCAAGTGCTGAAGAGCAGATGTAAGGAAAAAGCACGTGCAATAGAGATGACCACTGATAAGGTGTCTGAAATAACAGCTGTGGTGCTGACACACAGAAAAGGAAGAGAAGATGACTTCAAATATGAGCTTTGAACCCTGACTGTTGGGAGCTGTGTCCTGGTTCCCAGATCGCTCCAGCCAGACAAAGCTCCTGCCCTTGGCACTGTGGTACTTACTTGGACACCATGAAGGAGGTTGCATCGGTACGTGCTGAAGCAATGTAGAAAGCAACAGACCCAGCAAGTGGCAGCTTCTCTCCCCCTCCCCAGTCCTGTACGGGGTGTCAGCAAATGAACCAGGCCTACTTAGGAAAAGTCACAGCAAACGATGGCTTCATGGGTAAAGCGTAACACAAAGCTGCTTCATCAGACTTACTCCATAACGCCCAGCCAAGGAAATGCTGAATGAGTCTGAATGCTGAAGATCAGTATATAGGACGGTGGTGCAAGAGCCAGAGAAGGCTGGCTGGTGAGTTACCTGTTGCTCTGAGAGCTGAAATGGCCTGTGGGACATTTAAGAAAAGGGAGCTCTTGCCTTTTCCCAGATACCTCATTTAGGCAGCAAAACAAAAAAGACAGAAAGGCCCAATAAGAACGACACCCCAGAGTACATGGTCTGCAATTTAACACACACATTTGAGCTCCAAATACATTCAGCCCCTGCAAGAGGTAAATGAAAAAAGAAATTATTTTGAAAACTTTTGTTGCTGCTACACTGATGCACATCCCAATATGACATTTTCGCATATTGTCCTGAACTCAAACAAAAGGGACTTCCCAATCCCTCAGAATTTTCTCCCATTCTGAGTCTTACTAAGAGATGTAAGAACCCAGGTACCCCAAAGCAATGTCTCCCGCACAGCATGGATCAAACCCACACAAAAAATACAATTCCTAGATGCACAGGGGTAGCAAAATGTTTGTTGCTAAAATGCCAAAAAAGGGAAGAGTATGCAGAGAACAACAAAACATAGTAGATGTTGTTTATTCAGGTATGAAATGAAGCTGTACTTACCAGAGAACTGACTCCAGGTGTCAGCATGTGTTACATGCACACTCCCCCAAACTGGAGAGCAGCATTTAATCTAACCATGAGAATGTGGTGGGGGGTAAGGGGATCTATTTGTACATGAAAGATGCTGTGAGTGAATACAGTTTTTATTACTCATGATCACATGTAACAAGTGCACTTGTTTGGCCCCAGAGAGGCAGAAAGTGCTCGACTGGCCTAGTGATGTGAAAAGCCTTGCTCCATGTGATCAGCTCCAGATCCCCTCTGCCAAGGCTGTGGCAGAGAGGGTCACACTTCAAGCAGCCGTGCAATTTGTTCACCTCTATATGTGGACTAAGAGCAAAGCTCTCCTTTGCAGGGGGCTATAGCAGATGGTTTGACCAATGAGCAGGCAAACATTTGTGTAGTGGGGCACTGCAAGTAGCTGAAATCTCTCCCCTGAAGCATCTGTCCTTGAGATGAAAACTATTACTTAAAGGTAACAGCAATCAGATGGGTTTTTTTTTCCCCTAGAAGGTATTTTAATTTCTATTGCAGAAAGATATCAAGTTTTGTCTCACAAGAGTTGGCCAGTAAAATCTCCTGCCTCTCCCTCTGCTGATCCTGGTGTACTGTAACTCAAATAAATCCAGAAAAAATAATCAAATCAATTTGAAAAGGTTTTAAAACTGAAACACAGAAGCAAATGCTGCCATCATTTATCTGAATGACAGCTTGTGTACAGAATACATCCAATTCGTGTATTACAGACAGACACATTTGCAGGCATTCCCTTGGCACAGGGGGATGTGTCAGCCTGTGCACATCAGAAGGTCCAGGAATACTTGTCTTGTGGGTGTGCATGCCAGCAGCACACGCACACAGGTTGTTATCAGAATGCAAAGAATCATTTGCTGTAACAGATTTACTTTAGCAGAACAGCAGCCAATGCATTTTGTGATAGCTCACAGTTTACTTTTTCCAGACAAGCAGAGAACTCCCTCATTTCCCCACCAATTCCACATCACTGGCCATTCCAGGTAAAACCTTCAAATGCTACCAAACTTCCAGAGTCTGCTTCCTGACAATTTATCATATGTTACATACACAAAGCTTTAAAGTGCAACAACTGTTTCTCCTGCAATGCTGACAACCTGCCCGTCAGCTGCACCTACGCCATGCAGCCCCTGCAGAGCCTCAGGGCACCTCTGGGCCTTTTCTCCCATTTCCTCCAATTCTTACTTCATTTGTTGTTAGTAAAGAACCCAAATTTTAACTAGTAAAAAACTGAGGATATGCAACAAAAAATGGTAGCATAAACGTCATAGTTTGGAAACAAATGTTATTGACTGCTGCTTCTTTGTTGGGCTCAATAGAGTTAAACAAATAATGATGTCTCCAGCAGGCTTAAGCCCAATTCACACTCTCACTCTTGAGTCTTGAAAATGATCTCTGCAATTTAAAGTCAGCAAAACTCTGTGATGAACAATTTGGTTTTTTTTTCCTGAATGTTACATGGAAGCAGGAGTCCAGGCCATCCCTCCCTCTGCCTCCCCTCCCTTGCTGAAAACAGGAATAGTAAGCACACAAATTATGGTATTTCTGATGGCCGTTTTTGACAAAAACCCTGCTGCCCTAACAACCTCTAAAGGGAGATGGAACAGAGCAGCCTGCTGACAATCGAGGCATGTGCCTTGAGAGCCAGGCCATCCCCTGCTCGTACAGGGGCTGTGACCTGCCATGGGAATGCTCCCACCTATTCCCACCCTCCTGTCAGGGAGGGGAGCAAAGCAGCCGCTAACGTGACTAAGCACACAGGTGAGTGGACTCTTTCATGCTGAGAACCAGACGCCCAACAGAAGCTCTCTTGTCACTTAGTGTAACACAGTTACAGCATCTCCATTTCAAGTTTGTTTTCCTTCCCATTGGAGGAGTGGATTAATACATGAGAGAAGCAGCTGTCAAAAAGCTGGCCCAGTTGTCAAAAAGGCAACCAGATGTGTAACTTACCGAAGACCAACTTCTAGAAGATAAGCATTGGTGCTTAACCACCTTTGGCAGTAAAAAGCAACGTGAGGAGCTCTTCCACCTGGCTCAGACAGAAACAAATACTCATCTAGAGTAGGCTGCACCTGAACTGCAGCTTCCTACGCTCTAGCCTGAAGGCTGTCACAGTCCATGGCAACGGGCATCGGTACTCACTGAGTGTGTGTGAGTGCAGACCCTGTCAAGTTCCAACATCTACTAACAGCCATTTTGGATACTGAAAAAATATTCCACCGACAACGCCGTCTAAGCATGCCCATGATGAATATACATGTCCTTTTTCACAAATTCATGCATTGGTAACATCTACTGCAGAGCTCTGTCCTGTTACAAAAGCAGCAGTGTTAGTCATTGCAGTAGGGTTAGTTTGTACAGGATTCTTTTATATAATTAATGGAGGTGAAACTTAACTGGCATATCTCGGCTGCAGCCCCATGCAAGCAAGCAGAAAGCAAATATATTTAAAATGGAAGAGAGGAACTGGCTAGCAGGCAGCTACACTCACCCTTTTGTACAGCCTATGGTCCACCAGTGGGCTTCAGAGTGCAAAACAATACCAAAGAGCCATTAGACACACATGGCAACAACTGTACCTTACCCAGAGCTTCACTTCAGGGAGGAGGAGACAGCACTTCTGCTTGCCTGGAGAGAAAGAACCCTTCCCACTCCTGCCTATGGGACTCCTCTTTACCAGGGAAGAGCAGTCCTGTGTGTAGTTTTTTAGGGCAGAAAGTTATAAGCAAGTAGAATAAATGCAACACTGTCATCCCCATGGCATTTCTACCTGCATCCTGCCTCCCCTTGCAGCAATCATGTGTTTTCTATCTCATTCCAAATGCTACTCCATAGAAACCACTGCAGATCATAATCACAGCCAAGCAATGGTCTAGGTATCCCTCAGAAGAGTAAAAGTTTCCTACAAATCAGAAAAAGAACAGGAAATAGGAGGCTACCTTCCCAGTGAAAGATGTACCATACATGGATTTGGCCCGGCAAATTCAAACCCACTTCAGAGCTCCCAGATTTCCTTGCAGGTCTAGATGTGTCATATCTGGGGATCACTAAATAGGTGGAGTCTTCCCAAAACCACTAAATACACAAAGCCCTGGTTCTGCCTCACACAGGGCAGTGTGCCTGGAGGCAGATCAGCTCACAGGACATGTAAGGCTGGAAGTTAGTCAAGTGCCAGCTGACAGGTTCAGACATCATGGGAGGATGGGTAAAGCTCTCCTGGGAGGCCAGGAAGTTTCTCTTTCTCAACAAAACAACACTTCTGTGACAAGTCATGTTGCTACCATGTTATGGCTGATGCATGTTTTTCACCAGATTTTTGAAAATATGACAATAGATGGATAAATATGGGGATTTTTGTTCAAAGTTAAAGGGAGAAAATATATGTCTGACGGTCAGAATGACTGCTGCTGATGAATGACCCCTCTTGCCTCTGTGACACCTGAGAATAATCAGCTACCAGACCATCAGTGTCTTCTCTAAGAACATATTCAACCAAAACTGACACTTCTTTTCTGATTTTCATCAACATCTATGCATCCACTACTGAGAGCTCCAATAACGCAGAACCTCTCTCATTAACTCTCTCAAACACCTGAAATATCTTCTGGTCAGGCAACAAATGTCGAGTTCAGGAGACAGATCCTCAAGGTGATTGGAATCACGCTTGTGTTATTTGAGCCTTTGTGCCAAAAAGTTACTAAGCAAAATAGAACAAGGTGATCATTTAAGATGTTCTGAATGTGAGCGGAGAACAAGTTCTCAGAATTGGTTTAAAGGAGACTTTGATCAATTTTAACAGGAAAAAAATCTACCAACCAGATGGTTGCCAGGGAAACTCCTGAGTAAATCTCACCTAAAGGCTACAGAATAAGCTCTTGAGAGTAATTTTTTGGCCTACCAACAGAATCTGCTCATGGACAAAAACCTAGGTTAAACCGTTCCATTTTCTTTTTAAGGCTGAATTTCTGAACTTTAAGAATTTACTGCCTTCTCACTTAGCTCACTATCCTTACAACAGATCACAAATGGCATTTACAGCCTCTTCCCTCAGCTCTATCAACGGACAGAAATCTGCTACAAGATCCTATTTCTTTGATATTCCTGTGCATGCTCTCTTCTCTCACTCCCTCAGATTTTTCAAAATTATCTGTCTTGTACTGACAAGGCACTGCTGTTTAACAAATGGCTCTATAGTGCCATTTTTATGCTACAGAGCATTAACTAACACTAGATACTAGTTGTTATGGCTCACCCCTGGATGTTCAGGAGCTTGGATGGTCAAGGTGTTTCTTTCTGGAGATCGGGCCTTTCTTAATTTCTTATTTATAGCAGCAGTGTGCTAACTTTGGGGAAAAAAGTATTACACTTTTCCTTTACAGTTGTTTACACAAGCAAAAGACTTCCATTTGTCTTCAAAATCCTGGGTGGTAATAAATCTCTAAGAACCCAATTTTGTGTGGTGTTTGTCACCGACTGCAAACAGCAGAGGGAGCAGATCCCTGTGTGGTTCCAGTAGCCAAAGGAACCCAAGGAGAGATACTAAAGCAGTGTGACCCCAGGATCACAGAGGTAGTCCAAGTGTATAGAGCATGAAGTGCTTTGGAAAATATCTTGCTTTGCAACTGCTTGCTAGAGCTTTTTTGGCAAGCAGAAGGAAGATGGGAACAAGGCCCAAACCTGTCATATTTCTAAACAGTTCTATAAATCTGGTAAATTTAAGTATTTTTCAAGCAGATTCTGAATGCTTGTCATTTCTGAATGTTTTGTCATTTTGGTACGTCTTGCTTTTACTTTTAGCATTTGCCAATGCCAGAATGCTCCTGTTTCAACTTTGTGGCAATTACTAGTATTAGTTACAATAACACAGTTGCTTGGAGAAAGTATGTGATTGCTTGGAGAAAATACGTGATCACAAATGTGTGATCATTTCTACTTTAGAAGGAAAGGCAAGGGTGTTTTGAAACACAGCTAACATCTTCAGTGGAAATAAGTCACTTTTTCCTTTTGTTGCATCCTAGCCATGAACCGCGGACGAATTCCCAAGTAACCACAACCACTAACAAAGTGCCTCTGGACATGGACAGGACTGCACTGTTGCAGAAACTCAAGCACTGTGCACTGTGACATAAGCCAGGGAGAGTCTAAGGACAATGAATCCCCCCTGCTCCTGAATTCCTGTCTGTAACTACTCAAGAGCTAAACTCATCCTGCAGAGATGCTCAGCAGCAGCGACCACGCTGCTAGAGAGAACAGACTGACCCCAGGCAAAGGGAGGGGTCTTGCCTCCAAAATTCAGTGGTGCACATGAGCAGGGTCTCACTCTACAAAGGCAACAGGAACACTGAGAAAGAGAAAGGCAATGAGCTGAAGTCAAGAACTGCTGGAATCATGGGCAATTTAAACCTGGGAGAGTCTGCGTTACTCAACAGTTGGAGTCAATTGAGCCCAGCTGAAGTCCATGGTACATCCTGGATGCTGGTGGGAACGCCTGGGATATTCTCTGGCCCTGTGTGTGAGTTGGCTGCATGGATGGAAATTTGGCACATAGCTTCCCCAAGGACTGCCTGGATCTCAAGCAGATCTGAGAGGATACAGAAGTTCTGAGCCTCCGTCTGCTTCAGCAGGACATGCTGCACAACAAACACATCTTTTGGTCTCTTCCATATGCCCTGCCAAAAACAAGAAGCCACTTGTGCTTCCTCATCAATAACTGTGGCTGTTTCAAGCGCATTTGGAAATGGCTTGAGAACTACAAAACCCTCTTTCTTGTCCACATGTTTCTTCCCATAAGATGTCCTTCAACATCATGAGCCACACTGACCTCCTGCAAACTGCAGCTCTAAAATCCTGCAATAAGGACCAAGTTTGTTTCTCTCTGAGAGCTCTCCTTATTCAAATGACACTGGGCTGAACTAAACATGCTTCAAAATGCATCAGGTCTGACCAACTCCTGAGTGGATGAAATGCATGGGTAGTGAGAATGGAGGGAGCAGGGTCAGAAACTTTGGAATTCCCCTTTGTCTAGGCAAAGTTCTGGTTTGCAACCTGATAACATAGGGGATCCTTTCAGCTAAAAACCAAACCAAACACCCCGCTCGTAGCAGAGTACTGGTATGGCAGGGCTGGCTGCCACAGGGAGCACTCTAGCAAGCCTGCACATGTTCCCACGCTGGCAGGAGATGGTTCATCTTCATGTCTGTGTCTGTACTCTCGGCTCACTGCAGTATGTGTGGAGTGGCTGACGTGAACTAACTTGTCTGCTGCTCTGCTGGCACATTCCACCTATCCACATCAAAAACAATGTACACTTGAGGAGAGCCAACCAGATGATCCTGTGACCAAACTAAAGGCATTTCCAGTACGCATCAAATATTGTCACATTTTGCACTTTCCCACATACCACGAACGCTTTGTGTAGCACTTACAAGCTGCTGCTATGATTTAACAAGCTTTTTTTTAGACTTCCTCAAGTCCAGCTTTTGAAGTCACACAACCTGGGGGCTGCTGTACCATATCAGCAAGGGAGCTGAACACAATTCTCTTCCAGCAACAGTCCTAAGTTAGAGTTTCATTTTTAACAATGTATCTTGGAAGCAGCTCAGCTTTGTTCTTTGCTTAGAAGATCTGTAGCAAGCTGATTCTATTATACTTTACATTGCACTCATTGTGGACACACTTGAACATTGTCACATTGGAAGGGCAGATACCAAAAGACAGTGTCATACCTGTGGCGGCAGCGTCGTAAAAACCGCATAATCTTGCGAGCAGCTTGATCCTGCTTCTTGGTAAGCAGACTGCTTCTAAACACAAAAAACCCCAACACTGAAGTGCAGGCAAAACTGGAGAGAATACTACTAAATGCAAGAATAATTATCCTATGAATCACAGTCCTTTTCCCACTAGCCTTTATCTGCAAATAACAGCACAGCCCTGAAGAGTGTAAAAACAACATATAAAGATTCCGATAGCATCTACCATCCCAGGACTCACCTGAGTTTCTGTTGCACAATGGTGGCTGCCCGACGGTTTTGCTTCCTCTTCCCACATTCTTTGTAGCTGCGATAGTACTGCTGGATCAGCATCGCAGCTCGTCGGCTCTGCTGGAATTTCTTCTGCTCATAATAACTTCGGAATTTGCTCTGGATAAGAATGGCAGCTTGCGTCATCTTCTTATAAAGTGCATACTACAACAGAAACAAAGAGAAGCTGAGGCATTCCAGTTAAGATGCAGGTTCCTGCACTGAAAGACTCTTGAGCCGCTAAGACATGATATGAAGCAAATGAGTATTCATTGACTGGGAACTGTACGAGAAAATGGTGACAGCAACCTGGAACAACTGAAAGACTGGGGCAGAACTTCATTTGCATCAAGAAAGCAATCACCTGTTTTGCTGCTGCTGAAATAGTCTGATGAGATTCATACACTCATAGAATAGTTTGGGTTGGAAGGAACCTTTAAAGGTCATCTAGTCCAACTCCCCAATGTGAACAGCGACATCTTCAAGTAGATCAGGTTGCTCAGAGCCCCATCCAGCCTGACCTTGAACGTTTCCAGGGAGGGGGCATCTACATCTCTGGGTAACCTGTGCCAGTAATTCACTGCCCTCATCCTAAAAACTTTCTTCCTTGTATTTAGTCTGATCTACCCTCTTTCAGTTTAAAACCATTATCACTTGTCCTATTGCAACAGGCCCTACTAAAAAGTCTGTTTCCATCTTTTTTAAAAGGCCCCTTTAAGTATATAAAGGCCACAGTGAGGTCTCCCTGGAGCCTTCTCTTCTCCAGGCTGACCAGCCCCAACTCTCTCAGCTTATCTCTAGAGCAGAGGGGCTCCAGCTCTCTGAGGTGTCATTTAATACCTTGCTAGCAGAGGCTTTACATGTCCATGCTAATGACCAGATCCAAGTGTACTTATGAACAACTTTGGAACAAGTGGAGCTGAGCTGTGTTTGAAATGTAGCAGGTCTGTATTAGAGCATTGATGGCACTCAGGGGAATTGCTTTTCCCTTGCATACAGGAATGGCACTGCAGAGCATGGGATGCTCGGTTCTAGGCGGCCCTTGTTGTAAAAACTCATAACAGCAGCAGCAAAAGATGCCCAATTAAGTGTCTGCAAGGATAAAGCAGTTTGAGTGACTATTCCAAAATGCTAACAAATTAACTAAGACCAAAATATATTTTTTTGTTTCTTCATTTTAAAATATCTTTTAAACAAATTGCTTTTGTAAGAACCAAATTTGCTGTTTATAAGTGTATTCCACGTTTCTAGGACAATTCACTTTTCAACAGTTCATTTTCTCTTTCTCTGCAACAGCACAATACTGCAAAAGTTTTGATTGCTCGTATATCCATTTAAATCCAAGCATTTCAAATGGAGTAATTCTAACTTAAAAAAACCCAAACAACCCAAACAAACCCACAACAGCTAATTACAGCAAGTCTAATACTGAGCCTAAGTCACAGGCAAAACTAAATCTCATTAGAAATCCGTAACAAGCATCCACTGAACTCACAAATTTGCATGAGCAGTCACAGACATCCCAAATTCCACCTAGCACTGTAATATTTCTAGGTCTGTGAGTCCAAATAAAGCAGGCACAAACTCTTAAAAAGAAAATCTTCTTTATTCTACATCCTCTTCCTTTCACAGCATGCAAGGAGATGACGGCTGAACAGAAACCATATGCATTCATGCATATTTTTAAGTCCTTTTTAAGATGGAGATGTAGAATAATGTATACAAGTTGCACTCATACCACTGAACTAACACTATAAGAGGCTTTCAGTGTTTGCTGATCTTATCTGATAAGTTTTAATACTTTCAAAATGTATGTGTCTGTTGTTCCTGGATATTTTATCAGCTTTGACTTCTGCTCACAGAAATAGCAGCTACTGTCCTGTACAGGATAATGTCTTAACACATCTCAATATTTTCCTATCTATTGGGACAAAAACCCCCAAAAGCAAACAAACAACCCTCCCCACACCACTCCAAAGCAAAAAAAAACCCCCTCCAATATCATCACAGGCCACCATTTACCAAATTTCACTTTTTGGAATTGAAGCAGTCATAAGGAACAGTTATATTTTGTCATTATTAATTTCTATTTTTTTTTTCCCCTTTCTTTTCTTTTTAACATTTTTAATGAAATGGATCAGATTGTGGTTTTAAATTTGCTGTTTTAAAGAAGTCCACTCATGGGCTGGTCATGGTTTTCCTTCAGATTTTTAGCCCAGATGGGACTTCTGTGGCTGAGTTACAAACCCCTGAACAGAAGGGTTCAAACACAAACCTGTGATGTGAACTGTGACTGTTCCAATCTAGTCACGAGCCTGTGCTGATCTCTGCTGTGCAGTAACAAAGCAGAGGAATAAGGCATGTGAAAGAGAAATCAGCAGTCACTGGATAGACCAGACCCCAGTATGTTTGCATTCGGCTTTAAGACCAGCTTAGCTGATTAGCTACCCCCTCTCCTCCTCTTGTTCCCTATGGTGGGAAGAGGATCAGTGGAGATCTGTGAAGGGGTAAGCCTCAGTAAGTCCAGTGTCCCAGAGAGTTCAACTCATTTGTGCTGACAAAACAGCCTGATACAAAACTGTGGGGCAGGAGGAAGCTGTGGATGGAATATTACTTCAAGGACACATGCTCTCCAGGAGAAGCATGCCTTGCCTCCAGGCAGCCCTGAGAAAAGCTCAGTTGATTCTAGAATCTGATGAGAGCAAGATGTTGCACAGCTGGGAAACTCATCTTTACAGCAGAAAATTATTGACTGGGAACTACTTAAGACTGGTATCAACAGCTGTGCCTCCAGCATGAGTAGCTACATACTGAGATGTTGGTCTAAGGAATTCAGGACACAGGTATTTCAAAGATGAATGGTCAACATACTTCAGCAGGTAAGCAGAACACAGAGGACAGGTTGCACGGGTGGGTTAAATGTTCTCTGCTCCCCGAATGCCAAGGCAAAGGTCACCAAGTGATGCTGATCAGAAGCAGCAAAGGAAAGCCTGTCCTCAGGAAACTGGCTGCAAACCCCTCCCTGACCTCAGCCCATCACTGCTCATGGGAGTCGATACGCTGTGGCACGGAAGTCCCTACACATCTCTTACAAGGTCTGGTTTGTCAGTGACTTCTCAACCACAGGCATTTATTAGTGGATACTATTAAAACATTTCTCCAAATGCCAGGTTCTCCTGGTTTATACTCAATGTGAAAGTTAGTGACCCACGGGGAATTGTTTCCAAAATACTGTTTGTATTTGTATTACCTTCAAGGCTATCCAAGTAAGCTTGGGGAGAAACAGAAAAATACATAGTTAATGTTAGTTCTGCAAATAAAGTATGAAAAAAACAAAACAAAAAAACCCAAACAATCTTCTTTCAAAAAGAAGTGATTCCAGGATCCAAGACAAAGCAGTTTGTCAAGCAGTTTTTGAAAGGAATTAAGCTTTCCTATTACAGGAAACATCACTCCAGAATGAAAGCCATGTGATGGGTTGGATGTGAATTATGTTTCAGTCACCTAACACTAAAAAGACTTCCCAGAGAAATACTTTTATGAGGTTGTAAAAGAGCACAGGTATCTTGCCTCTTACTTTATGTAACATGCTGCCAAGCATCAAACAGATGGTGTCTGGCAGGGTAAAGGGCAAAGCGGGATGTGGGCACTTGTCCCCACAAACAACAACTAAAAAAACCCAAATCAACAAAAAACCCAACCAAAAACCAAAAAGGAAAAGCATCTTCTTTTTCTGGGGTTGAGAACTCAGCCCAAAAACATGTCTCCAACTAGTGTGTGGAGAACAGTGTCAATCCTGGAAAAACTTGCATTTAGCTATGACATGTGATTTCCCATAGTTTAAAAGTTTAGTATGTGCAAAATAAAACAACCTATTCTTCATCTTTGCCTTTATCAAAGGCAAAACCAACTTCAATTTCACAATGAAATTTGGCAAGCAACTAGTCAGAGAACAGTCTCCTCAGGCTGTAGCATGCATAAAGCCCAGTAGGGAATAATACATCACTGCCCTCCATCTCATAGCAAAAATGCAGGCACTACCACAAACAAAATAATTTCAAGGATTCCCTCCAAAATTAAGATGCAGAACATAAATTTTCTTCCCTTTTCAAGTTTGCCTGAGCAGGGGATTTCACTATTGCATGCTGAAAAGCATACCAGAGGAACAGTGGGATCATTTCCATTACAAAGGGCTGCGTTCATGGCACTTACATGTGTTTCATAAAATTTCACTTCCTTGATTACCTGTTTGTACTTTCGGTAGCAACGCTGAATAACAGCAGCAGCCACCTCTTGCTGTTCCCGGAGAGGACGACCCTGTGTGGAGAAGGAAAGGAGCAGTAAGCACTCAGAGCACATCAAAACCCAGGACAGACTACGTGGCTCTCAGCTGCCTGCAGGGCAAACCTCTCCTATGAGTGCTACCTGGTCTGACTCAGGCCTAGGCATTTCCTGCAAATGTCTCTACTGTCAACTCATGTAAGGAACAAACCCTCAAAATGCATCTTTACACCAAACAGGTGATTACCCAGAACCTCTGGGGTACATTTTGAGGATATGCTTTGTGAGCCCTGCTCCGGCACAGCGGGTGTGCCATGGCATGGTATGCTCTCCCCAGGACGGTATTTGCTGAGCAAACAAGCAAATGCCAGAAGCATTGAAGAGGTTATGACAGAAACGGTATTTTTGTCCCAGGAATGGGTATTACCCACACTTTGCTTTGTAACAAATATTACTCTCTCACACCTAACAAGGAAGACACTGGACATTTGGGCCACATACCTTGTATTTCCTGAACACTGTCTGGACGAGTTTGGCAGCTTCATAGAGTTCTCTCTGCTCATGATCAGACAGAGTTAACTGTGCAAACTCATTTTCTACCTTCTCGCTGGTGGACGCACTCAGAAATTCGGACCAGTCTGCTGCCGAGGGAAGGCTGGGTTTCTCAAAAGCTATTTCACTGATTGGTGAGCCTGCAGGGCTCAAGCTGGTGTTCGAAGAAGGGGTCAGGGGTTCACTATACAGACTTCTGAAATACCAATCACAGTGGGAATTACTGGCTTACAAAGCATCCGGGCTGGTATCACAGACAAGGACAACAACATTTCTGAGTTCAAGACAGAAGTTTATGCTCCCCTCCCTCTCTCCAAGCACCACCCCACACCCCTGAGCCTGCCTGTATTACACTGCACTGCACAGACGTGGCACTGGAGTGAACCCCTCATTCCATGAATTTGTAGCTGTGTTGTCTGAGCACAAGAGTGTGACTGGACTTGGAAGACCAGCACTGAGTCTCAGTGAGAACTGGCATCTGCAGGCTGAAGAGTCAGTACACACTGCTCAGCATTCACAGCATGCCAAAACCCAGAGCAACCTCACAGCTCTCACTGACCTGATCTGTGCAGCACTCGGCAAATGATCGACATCAGCAAGGTAACTGGCCAGCCAGCTCATGGTGGTGCTCATGGCAGCACTGTCTGTTCTCTCCACCAGCAGTGATTCCATTGGCACAAAATTCTCCCGCTTGATCCTGTCAGGCGTAGCTTCAATAATGTGCTCTGCAAGTGTCATCATGTTCACCTGTCAAGGGGGAAAGGAGAGTAAACTTTTGCTGCCTGGTAGAAGGTGCCTTGTGCTTCCATGTTACAGCCCAGCTTTAGACAGAATGCCCCATCTTCCCCAAACCTGTGGAAGCTGGAGTCTACAGTCTGTCTCAGCACTGAGGAGAAATTCATTAACCAGTGCTCACTTGGTTTTCTGTCTCTTCAGACAAAGCACTGCAGGGTTTCATATTCCCCAGACTCCTTTTTTTTTCTTTATGGGGAGCCCACAAGAGATCTGGTGAAAGGTTAATGTCTCTGGGTCCTTACTCTATGCTACTGACAGCTGTCACTGGTATCTTGTTTCCAAAGGAAAAGTGGTCTCGCCACTCTTTTGCTGAGATGTGCGGTAGAGCATGACATGACAATAAAGGCACATCAAGAGAATTTAAAAACCTTGGGACAACACATCATCAGGAATCCACCTAAATGATATCCTTCAGCCCACCGAGGTTCACAGAATTCTTAATACCGAGAACAGAAAACGGTTCTTGTTTGGCAGTGACCTGCTTCATCCGTGTTACACCAGCCAGAGGAGAACATTCAGAGATGCTAAGGCAGCACAGGTAAGGTTGTGCTCCCATTACTTTTTTTGCTCAAACAACCACGGTATCTTTCTCCCAGTGACTACTTCTTGTGTATCTTTCCTGCTTCTCTTGTACTTTTACATCCTCTATTCCATACCTAGTGTGATTCTTCCTTCCTCAAAGCCATTGTCTCTCCCCTTCTCCACCGTTACCTCCTTGCCCTCTAAAGTGCAGTGGTTTCATCTGCACCCACAGCACTACCCCTCTCAGATCTTCTAGTCTTTGTAGGGACTGCTGCTCAGTTCCCAAGGGACTATGGGGCCACCTCAGTCTCATGTACTGCTGTGAGCAGAAGGTTCTGCTTTTTTCCTTTTTCCTTGCACAATTGCAAACAATTTTGTGCATTCTGTACAATGTTGAAGTTTATGCTAGTGCACGATCCTAAATGCTAACCATTAGCCTTTGTGTCCAGATTGAAATCGGAAGAAAGTATACATTGACTGTGTAACCACATCCTTTCTCCAAGTAAAATTTAGAGTCTCTAGAGGCCTCCACAGGAGCTTCTCACAGCCAGGCTCCTCTGTGAAGCCACCGTGTTCTCTGAGACCGCTGATCTTGGTGCTGTGCATATGTTTACCTGCAGTTCATCCATGTGGTGTAAGCAGTCCTCATCCCCTGCGTTGTCTCTGTAGGACAAGAGCTCTGCATCCACCATCTCCCTGTCGGCCATCATCAGCACATTCATCTGCTCCCGCTGGCGTAGCCGATGGGTTACAGCATCCTTCCCCAGGGCAGTCCCCTTCTGGTTCCCTGCCACCTGCACTGCAGACACACCGATATAAATGTCTTTTGGGTTCCATTTGATGCCTGCTTGGCTGCCAGAGCCCCGGTACCCAGTAACTTCTGGGATGTGCTGGGAGAGCTCCCGGCCATAGTCCCTCATCCGTTCACTGGGGCTGATTGTCTCAGTGGAGGATTGCTTGGAGCTGGAGTTCTGCCTCCTAATGCTCGGCTGCTCCAGGCTCAGTGCAGTGGAAAGCAGCTTCTCTTGCCGGGCTTGAAAATATTCAGGGCTCAGCTTATGCTTTTTGGGTGCAGGGTAATCTTTCTGAGTCTCACTGCTGTAATAACTGGAAGGTTCTGATCTTGGCCGTCTCAGCTCTGGAAACAAACAGATCAATAATTAAAACTAAACGTGCAACCCACGATCACTATAGGAAAATGAACAGTTTCTGCCTCAGAGCTGCAGGGTGAAGTTTGTGCCATGATCCATGACACCCAAGAGGATGTGCAAAGGGAGTAACAACCACCAGGGAGGAAATGCCTCAACCACTCCCTAAGATACATGTCTCTTTCCAAAGCAGGCATTCGCTCCTCTTCCTGATGCTTATGCAAGTGAACAGAGCACAAGAAAAGAATTAAGTATGGACACCAGGGCTACAGGTGGCATCTACTGCTCAGGTGACCTCCTTGCTCCCACGTTTTCACATGTCAAATGACAGCAAAACAGTGCATGCCCTCCAGTTTGTTTTACCTGTGTTTGTACTGGAAATCACTGTGACTCCCTTCTGAGGCTCCTGAGAGGCAACAAGCTCACTGTGCCACTGGGACACCCAGTTCTCTGTGTTGGAGTCTGTGCTTGAGGGGCACTGAATCCTGGGGTTTTGCCCAAGCTGAGTTTGTTCATCTCGCTGTAGTTGCTCCAAGCACTCTGCCAACTTTACATGGCCCCGAGACCGAGCAATGGCCAGTGGCAGTCTCCCAAGGGAGTCAGGAATAGAGATGGCTCGGCGGTCCCACTTGTACAGCACAACAGCTGCATCCATGTGGCCCAGGGCACATGCCCACATCTAAAGAAGAAAAGGATAATTGACCCATTGGGTAACCTGCCTTCTCCTTCCTTTCTTGATAATACAGTGGAGTCTGGTCCCCAGCTCATGGAAAAATGACTCTGATAAACATAACCATGACATGCTTGAAGCCAGCAAATGACTTTTATAACTGTCCCATCTCAACAAAAGGCCATTACAGAGGACCAAATACATGCTATTCTCTCCTACAACAGAGAAACCTCCATCTGCCAAATAAAGCTGACAGAGTGACAGTTTTTTATTTAGCAATAAATTTTGGGTTGATTTGGGGGTTTTTTTTTGTGACATTGGCATCACTGCAGAGACAGAACAGCCTCATACGCAAAGGAATCTCTGAGGTCAGAAACATGCGGACAGGACCAAAGGTTGAGAACAATAAAATCAATACTCTGCTGTTGTAAACTGGAAATTTTGGTTCCACCTGCTTTGGCTTTTTACTTGTCTAAGTTCTCAGTTATGATTTCATGATTCCAATGACCAAGATATTGTAATGACTTTACAACCTCTACAATTATACAGTCACAGAGAACAACGTGAAAGAAGTCGTGCAGAGTTCTTTTTCTAGCACGATAGTGGAGACTAGATATTGTGTAAAACACACACCAAAACCACTTGTCTGTCCCCTTTCCTCATGTTACTCAATGACAAGGTTTTGTTCTGTGTGCTCTCTCAAAACAAAATGCCAGGAAGTTGACAGCACCATGTCTTACCACGTACAGAGCAGGGACACACAAGAAACATCTACTCTCCAGAGAATGAAACACATTAGGAAAACAACACATCAGAAAGAACTCCAGAGGGTCCTCAAACTCTTTCAGAAGTTTCAGACTCTGCTCTTACCAGAGGAGTGCAGGAGAAATGATCCACATTCAAAGGGTCAACTTCCAGCTCCAGATCAATGCTGTCTGCATGTTTAGTGCTGCAGGGGAAACAACAGAACAAATGGTGCTCTGTAGCCATGTCAGGTTCATAGCCTAAGCACAGCTTTACCCAATGCACCACACCACAGAGAAGTGGCCACACACATGCCCACGACACACGTATTTACTCCAGACAGTGCCCCCACCAGAGACTTGAAGAGCATGATACATCCAGTGACTGGACTCGCTCTCTCAAGAGACAGGTCCTGTCAGATCAGGGGATGGGAAGAAGTTCAGGGACTTGACTGTTTGTACAGGACAACCAGAAATGTGGACTGAGCACAGTTTATGTATGCTTCTGCCACGCCTGTACTGAAACCCCAGAGTCCAACGGACTGGGTCTTACCGCCATTTGATGAGGGTCTGGATCAGTGTAGCATAGCCCTGGGCAGCGGCTAGGTGGAGCAGTGTCATTCCTCGGAAAGTCTTTGAATGGATCAAGTGTTTGGACTTTGCCCAGCAAGCACGACTCATCATCTTCTCGCACACCACCACCACGCGGCTCTCAAAGCAGCTGCCCAGGGTCCCAGTCCCAGAAACGCACTGAAACACCACACATATCCCAATTTAGCCACGGAGAGGAGCTGCGACCTGCCTCAAGTAGGCAGCCTTCTGCCTCTATGAGTACTGAGACAATGGCCAATGCGACTGAAAACCAATTGCTATTAGACATCCACAAACCAGATTTATTATTTAGGACGAACCATAATCCTTTCTAAACCCCTCGCCCCAAAAAAACAAACTTTGGTAAGAAAGCATAAAGCTGCCATTTCTGGACACAGCGGGGTTCATACCTGGACCTGCGTTCCACCGTTCCCACTCCCATTACTCCCGCCTCCTACTCCTTGCTTGTGCTGCTGGGAGCCTGTCATTTCAGCCATTCTCCTCTCCATCTGCTCAAGTCGTTCCAATATTGACATCCTGAACTGGTTATCTAAGTGGGAGAAAGCCAGAATAAGGATTTTTCCACGGAAACCAAGCTCAGGCTTTGACAGCCAACTGCAGGAAGCCACAAACAGCTATCCTGGAAGTCACAGAGGAGATCTGCTCTGCTTGGCAATCCACACGCACTTGCCCTGCAGCATCCTAGCTCTTCAAGTTCCTGCAGCAACCCTTTGACTGCAATTCCAGGGAACTTCCATACAGAAAACAGACAGAAAAATGAAAAATGCAGGCAAAAGACAGATCTCTTTCCTTGTGAGTCCAGCTGTATCCACACAACAATGGACAGGGGTAATGCAGGATCTTTGAAAACACAAATAAACTCTAAGCAAATATACCCATTCAGAGAGCATCAGTAGGATCATATCTGCCATTTAAGAGTCATTCCCCCTACTTTACAAGAGTCCTGAATTCAGCTTGGCTCGCCTCCTGGAATCATGCAATAGTGGTACCCGGAGGAAAAAGACTCTTCTGCTTCCTTCTGTGCTTAGGAAAAGGAGCCTTTAACAGGGCACTTGTTCCTTCCCTGGCAGGCTCCCTTTCTTGGACAACAGCTTCAGCCAAGTGCCAGAAACAGAACTACCAGAAATCAGTGTACAGGCATGGACAATCCCATAACACCATTCTGGAAAGCAGTGCAACTCTGGAGCCCTCTGGTCCCTGCAGAAGTCTCAGGTCTGTGCTACTGATTTTCTCCCTGTGCTGTAACATAGCACTATCCTACAACTACCAATGCTTGAATGGTGAAGCAGGGAGATTCAGACAGGTTAACAGATCACTATATTGTCGACCATTGGTATGAGACAGCTCGGGTCCACTGGCTGGAGATGTCCCCTTCTCACCCAGAGGCTGCTGTGGTTTAACAGCAAACAAGAGCTCCACTCCCTTCTGGCCAGCTTCAGCACCCCACCCTGGCTGCTCAAGAGCCAGGGACAAAGGACTGTGGCCTCCTGTCAGAGGTACACTCACTAGTCCAAACCACTTATAATTAGTGCCTTATTAATCCTTCAGTTGTGTGAATTGCAAAGCCTCTGGGAAAGGCCTGACAGCTACATGAGGAAATACCCATTGTGCTGATGCAGTCTCAGGGCCCTCTCCCCCTGAGCTGTGGTCAGCACACGGCAGCAACACACGTCCTGTTTGCCCAGCAAATCTTTGTTCCAGGAGTGCTGCAGTGTGCTGCAGTGCAGTCCACGCCGCTGTCTCCTCCCTCCCCATTGCCAGGCGAGGCACGTCCACTGCAGAGACTGGCACAGACCTGGCCCCAATGAGCCCTCCCCTCTCGCTGCAGGCCTGTGCAAACACAGCCGTGACAGCTCAGGCACCTGGGAAAGTGGCCAGGTTTGCTACGCAGGGCTCCTTTCTGCACAGGTAATGCCACTCTCTCTAGCTGGGTACCAGTACTTGCATGTTATTAGAGCTGAGAGTGGCAACACATGCTGGGTACTGGGTATCGCATCTGAGCCTTCAACCTCATACAGGCAAAAGCAGAATCTTTTTAAAAGAAGAAATTTGGCTTGAATCAGTGTTACAGATCAACAAGCCCAGGGCTGCAAGATTCTGTGGATTTGCTCTTATTCATTTAGAGGTCAAGAGAGAACAATTATTTTGTACGCCTGGAAACAGAAGAAAAAACTTTTTCCAGTAAGATGTAGAAGCACACTGTGCAGATTAGTATTTCCCTCCCACCCCCCCTTTTTTTGTTTCCAAGCTGAAACCACTGTGAAACAGAACTAGAGGGCCCTACGTTTGTGTCTATTTTCCAGATTCTTCTCTCTGGGCTCCATGACCTGTAATGAAGCCTTCACCTTTCCTGATTCCAAGCTAAAGATCCTGAGAACTTCCTGTAAGTTATTGTCAGAAGACTGAAGTTACCAAAGGTATGTCTGTCACCCGCACTGTCCCCAGATGGAAACACTTAACCAAAGAAATAGAAGCAGGGAACTTTTCTTGGGAAATAGAATTTCAAACAGCATCTGGTATTCCTACTGAGACACCTGGCAGTGCTCCTGGAAAGTATTTAGGGCAGGACTACCTGATTCTGACCTAATCAGGCAGGTTAGAAATATGCTGCTATTAGTAAAATGAGAAGTGGAAACAAACATTCTGGAGTGCCAGCACAGTGCGGAGGGAGTCGGAGCCCTCTCAGTGTGTAGCAGAGACTGCCAGCATTCACCCAGCTCAGGGCACACCCTCAAATCAGAAAGCTCCAGGCAGCAAATGAGGTAAGTGGGATGGCAGTGCAGGGACGGTATTTCTGTGCTCCCCATTTCTCAGGTGATCATCACTGTGGCCTAAGCAGCTAGAACAAAGCCACAGCTGATGGCAATTTCAAAATTATTTATGTATAGTGTTTTCAAGGGACTGGTCACTTGAAGTGCGTGCACTGCATTGGTCTACCAAAAAAAAAAAAAAAAAGGGGAGGGGAGAGAGAGAGAGAATGGGAAAAGGCACACAGCAAGTAGCTATGCTGCAAGAGCTGGTACACCCTTAACAAAAGAAAACAAGGACACTTTAAAGCACACAGGAACAGCCAAGAGACAGGACACCTTCCCTCAAGAATCCCCCTGGACTCAGCGATGAAGTGAAAGGTTCCTCTCCATCACCTAGCCCTGGACACACACTGGATTAGCAGCATTTGAACCATGGCCAGCACAGTTCACACACTGCTAATGAGCCAACAGATGTACTTTGCAATAACTCAGAGATGGGCTATAAGAGCCATAGGACTGAATGTTACAGGTATCACTTTGAGAAGTTCAAGACCCTTTATCCTGTATTATTTCTCATTTTGCTAGTCACAATCTTTTCTGTCTTGCTCATTTCAGGGGTCTGTGCAGGGCCACTTGCTTAGTGGGCACTGAAGTTACAGGAACACAGTTTCCACATCCTTGTCTTTTAAGCCAACATAAGATCTCATGACAAGAACCTCTCTTGCAGTGCACTGAAGACAACAGCTCAACAACATACAAATCACTGCCCAAATAAGCTTTTCTCCTGTTATATTTTACAGGAAATCTAGACAGTCCCAGTACAAGGAGATGTCTCACATTGGAAGCACCCTCGCTCTGTCCAAAGGCAACAAAGATGCACGACACAAACATATTCACATATTTACATATACATATATATACACTATTTTCCCAAGGACTCTGCTTTTGATAATAGAATTTAATATCTTTTCTTGTGAGCCAAAAAATTAGATATTGAGTTTTTCCATTACGTATCAAATCTAAGAAATATTACAGAATTCTTTAGGAAACTACAGAGAGCATTTCTGAAGCTGTTCTTAAAGGCTTCCTCCACCAAAGGTGATGCAAATAATCACATTTCTCTATCTCCAAGACATCTCACAATTCCACAGAAAACATTCTGAACATTGTATCTTTTCTGGAAATTATTCCTCTTCAAATTTAACAATAACAATGTAACACCAAAATTACTTCTCACCATCATTCCCTAGCATAAGAGGGTGAGGTGGTGGCAGCCTGCAGGGAGCTGAACAGTCCCAGCAGGGAGGGACCACAAAGAGCAGCTTGGTCAGATTTTGACCAGTACTAAGAAATTGGTTTGAGTCTTGTACTCATTTCCCTAAAACATGAATCATCTTTTAAGTGCAGAAAAAGCTTCATTTTCATTTGTACTGTGAGAGAGCTTACTACTGATCACAGTAATGACAGCAGGTTATGCACTAAACATTTCTAGAGATGCAAAACTATTTGGTACAAATCCTCTAAGGCTACATGGTTGTTTACATCAGTTAGCATCTTACAGAGCTACAGTATGTATGCTTGCACAGTTATGCCCAGACAACCTGGATATTGTTTCATGTTACCAGGTTTTCTTAGCAGAGATCATTTAATCCAGTACTGTTTTCTTAGCCCAGATCCCTTCATGATGAATTGAAAGCAGACCTGTACCAACGGCTTGACGAGCCCCCACGGTAGGCACGGTGAATGGAAAATGCAGTGAGCAAAGTAGTTAGTTTGGGCTCCTAGATTCTGGAAGTTACACCTCCATTTTCTCCTGTGGTGTCCTCCAATAAACACTGAATTTCCTCAGTAAGAATCTAAACATATGCCAGCCACTTACATGACACAAGTTTTCACCAGGGGCTGCAGAAGCACATGCCTTGTGCAGCCTGACAACAGCTCCTGACTGCACAGACCCTCTATTAAAAGGGGAACTAAAACACAGCACTTGCAAATGCTTCACCTACACCCCCCATGACAACCCACTCCTCTGCACGGCCCTCCCCATCGTCTAATCCGAAGGCCTGTTCCAAAGACTCCAGAATTTCTGGTTTTGACATGCATGCAGTGTCCCCAACAGGTAGGCACAGCTCAGCACATGTTCCTGCATCAGCTCCTGCACTTCCTTTGTGTGGTACCCAAAACACCACCATGGTCCAGGGCATGGAGCTAAGAGGATACCAAGGCACAGCAGTGAGTGACAAGTCCTCCTTTGCTTGACAGGCCAAGTTTAAGAAATTAGCATGGAGAGCTGCTTTTCTAATCTGTGCACACTGCTGTACTGGACAAGTACAGATTCCAAAGGATCTTTTGTCCTTTTGCCATGCAAGCTTCAAACAGCAAGTGCCACTTGTGACTCGGCAGTGCAGCTAGAACTATTACAGGGGAAATACTGCTGAAAATACAGACGAAAAAGAAATTGGCACTTTTTAGCAGCGAGTGGTGTCTATACCACTTGCTCTTTTTTCACATTCTTACCTGGAGGTTTGGGGTTTTTTTGCCATGCTGCACAACCAAAATGACAGACAGTATCTGACTGGAAGGACTAAAGGACGAGAGTCCACGCTTTCCTGCACATTCCACGGGGGGTGCATCTGCCCAGCATATAATTATTCCCCCACAGCTGTCTAACCACTGAACTAACGGTGGTGTGTGAGATCTGCATCTGCACGTGTTCCAAGCACTGTGCTTAAATACTCTAGCAGGAAGAAGCCACACTGAGGGCTCTGGCTTCTCAGCA